AACGAGTTTTTTGACGTTCCTATTCATGCTCAAATCACTGATCATCAAATATTGGGCATTACGCACGAAGCGGGAGCCATAATCGCCCAACTTATCCAACAAAATCAAGGACAAACTACACTTCACATCATGGTTTATAAAGATGCCTATTTGAGAAAGGTGAAATTCCCAAACGAAACAATTTTGCATTTTTTAATTTTTATTACCGTTTTCATTTTCTCCATAGTACGTGTAATGTCTGAATGAGATTTTTCTAAACATTCGATTCATAGCAGCTGTTTAACATGTATGATATTCTGATATAAAAGAGCAAAAATCAGATAAATTTGACAGCACATGCAGGTGTGCGTTCTAGGCTAGGGTGGGTAGTCATGTTGGTTAGAGAGAAGTCCAGAGTCAGCAACACAAACCCTTAGAGGGGAATTGATTAATCATATTTCACATCATGTGTCCATACACTTGTGTCTTAGATTCTTCTGATTAAACTGGAATATGAGATTTTAATTGAGATCGTTCGAAACGCCACCATTGATTCCCTGGTACTATTAACAATAAATTGCAGTGAATTTTTATTTTTATAGTCCGCTATTTAGTTTTTGAGAATATATCCTATTCCGCGATGTTGAACATTGCGGAACCAGTACCGCCCACGAAACCAATTCCATCTAATTCCAGAAATTTCGTTTATCACTTCCAACACAATTCCGGAGTTCCCGGAACCAGTTCCTATCAATTCTTAGGCATTTTATGAAATTCCGTCCGATTTCGGAGTTGAGTGTTCATCCGGTTATTGCCATTCCTTACTTCTGGCTATTGCATCCAATTTCAGAACGGAATTTCGGAAATTGCGTCGAACGGGAATTGCGCGGAATTACATGGAATTCCAGGTGTAGAGGTGGATGGGAGTGGATAAGGCACTCCCACCAGTGTTTCCAATGGCAAGTGTACCAAGCAGAAACAAAATGTACGGAACATCTGATACTTTTGATTTACACTCTGTTGTACACTTGCCCAGAAAAACAAAGTGTACAATGTGCACTTTGCTAAAATAGTTTACACTTTGATTTCTTTGATTTTTGAACCTTAAAAGCCGCATATAATTTTAAATTAATAAAAGATAACGTTTATTTGTTCGCTAGAGATCAAAATATTTATCTTATGGAAGAAAAAAAGGACGAACATTATTTTTTGTTTTTCAGGTTGTGAAAATTTGGCTTTCGTACACTTTGATACATTTTGCTGAAAAAAACAAAGTATAAAATACACTTTGCTGATAAAATACAGAGTGTACAGTACATTTTGCTTTAAATTTCCATTGGAAACACTGATCCCCACCCCCACCCACACCCGTACCCGTAAATATAGTACGAGATTGAAGCATATTTTGTAACTGTGGTTGCGGTGAAAGCACAATGCGTGGTATAGGTCGAATTAGTCATTTTCGCCGAATTGTTTTTTCGCCGACAACGATTTTCGCCGGATTCCAACTTCTCCGAAAGAATTTTTTGCTCATTTAATGATCCTGAACCACACCCACACCTACACACGCACTCACATGTATACCTACACCCACATGTGCACTCATTCCAATGTCTCTGTCAGCGAAAAATTCTTTCGGTGAAGTTGGAATTCGGCGAAAATCGTCGTCGGAGAAAAAAAAATTCGGCGAAAATGGAAATTACCGTATAGGTCTACGCATAGGTAGTGGTTTTCTATTCATACACGTCCATGTTCAACATATGGAGTTATGAAAATAAATCTATCAGAGTACATGTATGTACAAAGTGTAAATTATGCAATTTTAGGGTCAGTATGAACATAGGCTTTGTGTCGCATGTCATACATGTCAAACCTGAAAATTGAATTCAATTATTGAAAATTTACTTCAACTATTCAGTTATTCAATTATTGAATAGTTGAATTTCAATTATTCATTTTTCGAATAGTTGAATTCAATTATTCAGTTTTCACCAGGTGTGGATGTGGAGAAGGAAGTTCGGAGGGAGGAAATAGGAATAGTTGAATAATTGAATAGTTGAAGTAGATTCTCAATAATTGAATTCAGCTTTCAGGTTTGACACTACTGGCTATCGTAAAGAAATATTTCTCTGTTCTATATGTTTTTAGTGGTAATGATAGTATGGGAGTGTGGATGTGGATATGGGTGTGAGTGTGGGCAAGTGTGGATATGGATGTGAGGTGTGAAGTGTGAGGTGTAGGTGTGGGTGGGTGACTCCGGATTTCTCTCTCTCCATACCCACACCCACACTTACACTCTATATGATCAAAGTGGACTGCTGCGGGTATGGGGTGTGGCTGTCTTCCCTTCAACAACATGCGACAGTAGTGTCAAACCTGAAAGTTGAATTCAATTACTGAGAATCTACTTCAACTATTCAATAATTGAATAACTGAATAGTGGAAGTAAATTTTCAATAATTGAATTCAATTTTCAGGTTTGACATGTATGACGATAGCAGACGAAAATATTGATAAAGTACAGGTTGTATCCAAAAAGAAAACGGTCTATACAGGTGAAAAAATATGTATTTTTTGGTCAGATTTTCAACAGAGTTCTTACGACGATTCGGATTTTTATGACAAAATATTGTTTAAAACCCCACATTAGGCATCTAAACTCTGCTGAACCTCGATTATTTGCGCAAATTTAGAGTATATTGTCATCCACGTTAAATAATTATAATTGTTTTTTTTGTAAGATGAAGTAAAACATTATAAAGTTGTAGAAACTATTAGATTTACAAAGTAAGAAATATCGGGTGGTCTGATTTGGCGTGCAGGCCGGGTCAGAAAAAAGAAGCCTGTTATGAGCTATTATATAATTGATGTTGAACAATTAACATAGTAAGAAATAATGGCCTCTAGACGCTTTGTCGCTGTCATTCCTAACATCCATAATTGACACCGGATGTTCGGAATTAACACTTTAGTCCTCTAACGGATATTCGTAAGATAGAGAACTGATGTTCGTTAAATAGAGAATGGCTGTTCGGAATTAACATTTTCGCCCTCCAACGCGGGTGTTCGAAAAAAATCTAACGGATATCTGTAAGACAGAGGATAGATGTTCGTAAAAGAAACTAAAAAGAAACTACCGGGTCTTCGGAACGCAAACATAAGAATGTTCGAGACAAAGCAAATGGTGTTCAAAACAGACTTAGATATAGACCTGTAGACAAACGAGAATACGTCCCATAATCTTGAAAGTGAAAACTCGAAAATAATAGTAATAATATCATTCACTTTGATGAGCAGCCCAAACAAAATGTGAGTTTTCCTTCCGCCTCTTGATATTTTATCAAATAAAAATTGAGAAAAAGATGAAGCATCCGGTACAGTAAAGACAAAAAAACAGCAAAGACAGCAGCAAAAAAGTCAATATTAGAGTGTAGTGGCCGCTCTTCTGTCTCATTAACTGTATATAGTTCTGTTATGTGTAAGTAAAAAGTTTATTCTCTCTTTTTCTAAATATCTGTCGCTAAAGAGGCCTGTCTCTACTCATTTGTGCCTGCAGAAGAGTAAATGATAGAGATCTACTGTTTTTTGTTATTTTTTATTATTATTGAAATGTCTCTCTATTTCTGTGTCATTGTATTTCTTAAGAGTTTGACTTACAATCTGTGAATAATGTTCTTTGCTCAATAAAACTCATTTATTTCTGTTAAAGAAAAGACAAAGCAAGTAGATAGGCGACGGATATTGATAGTGAAGTAGTCCCTGCTGAACCACCCTTGAATAAGAGTGAATAGAAGCTTGTAATTCATTACACATTTTCACATCTGTAACTATGTGCCTAACATACTATGTAGTGTTCTATAAAGGAAAGAGCGTTTCGAACATTGGTTATCTAGAACTAAAGTCTGCACTAATAAAAGAAGCAGATCTCCGTTCCGAACATCCCTCATTTTCTATTCCAAACTCCTGTATAAAGTGTTACGAACATCCCTATATTTTGATTACAAACACCCGGTAGTTTCTTTTACGAACATCCGTTCAAATTATCCAGTTCCTCACACAGAAATGTGTGTATCGTTGCCGTTCCGAACATCCGATAAAAATTTTTACGAACATCCGTTTTTCTTTCGATGATCATTTCGAACACCCGTGTTTTTTCTAATTACGAACATCCGATATTCTTATAATAAGAGTGATGATTTTTTGAAGACAACGGATGTTCAGAACGGACTACGACATTGGATGTTTGGAATGAAAGTAGCGACGAAACGTCAAAATGCCGAAAGAACTGCATGGAAGTCACAGATAGTCATGTTTTTGGCAATGTAAAGTTTTATTGACGACGCTCGAAGAGATCGCATTCGGATTCATCAACGGCTAATATTGGGGTGACGACAACTGGACAGGAGGCATTATCACCATCCGTCATAATGATGATATTCGATTACCTCATATCCTTTGTTGAAGCAATTTCCTTACATAGTTGTTGCATAAGAGAAAAGAAAGACATGTCATATATAGTGAAAAGTAGCACCAGCGAGTTGAGTCCGACCCGGATTTGAACAACGTTTAACAAACTGATTCCATAAGTTTCGATTCCGGTGGAGTCTGGTGAAAAGCGAACACCGAACAAGAACTCAAGCAGAGATAGAATATAATGGTCATTTATCATGATAATTGTGAGATAAATACTTGGTGTTCCTCTATTGGCTGGTATCTTTTTTTCTCTTATCTTCTACCTGCCTCTTTAACATTTTCTCTATTCGTATGGTCACATTTTTTTGTTTCATTTGTGTCTATAAAGATGCTCGTAATGAAGCAAGTAATATACAACTTCTTCTTTTTTCTTTCGATTACATCTGTTTAACTTAATTGATACTTAGATCACTCTACTATTAATTGGTTTCATAACTTCTTTTGTCATAACAATATCGTCTGGTTGGCCTACCGTGAATGAAAACAATATTAATGTTGTTTCACTCAATATTGAAAATGCAAACACCGGCCAAACCATTCCATCTACAATGCATGGTGTTATTATCGAGACAAATATCAATAGGGATGACGACGGTGGTTTATATGCAGAAATTATCTACAATCGCGCTTTTCAAGGTTAGTCATTTTCTTATTATACTATCGGAGCCAATTGAAAATTCCCCCTTTTGTTGTTTTTTGTTTTTATTACTATACTTCTTTTATTTATTAATCCACTATATAAAGCGAGAAAGCCCGGAGCGCACTGCTTGTTTTGATATATTTACGTTGATCATCAAACGCAGTTTAAAGTATAAAAAATATGTTGAAAAAAAAGTGACACTTTTTTTTACTACAAAACCTAGTGTTCATAATATTATAACATTTTTTATTTCACATATATCTTGGCTCCGATAGAAGATAAAATCTTGAATTTTTTTTCAAAAGATGCGCTGTGAAACGCTCTAAAAAACTTGTATGACTGAATTCCAGTTTACTTGTTCTAATGGTTTTTCTGATACTCAAAATGAACAACTTACATGACAGTGTCACTTCCCATAATATTGAAAATGTTTGGAACACTTCTTGTTTTGCATATATCTCGACTTGAGAAAATGATAGTATATTGAATTTTTTAAAAATAGATGTACCGTTGAAAGCTCTACAAAACCTGTATGAACGAACTCATATAACGAAACCAAAAAGTGTTTCAAACATTTTCAATATTATGGGATAAGAAAAACCATTGGAACAGGGTAACTGGAATTCAATCATTTAGGTTTTATAGAGCTTTTCACAACGCATCTTTTGAAAAAATTTCAAAATTTTATCTTCTATCAAAGCCAAGACATATGTGAAATAAAAAATGTTATAACATTATGAACACTAGGTTTTCTAGTAAAAAAAAGTGTCACTTTTTTTTTCTAACATAGTTTTTACACTTTAAACTATATTTGATGCTGAACGTAAATATACAAATAGATGCAGCGAGTTTCGGGTCTTTTTTGCTATATATCCTCCCAGTTCTGAAAAACGGAGAAGCTTGTTTCTTTGATTCCTCTATGATATAATATATTTTAGGTCCCATACTTAAACCACAGATAGACCTTGTGTTACTCTATCTGCTGGCAGAATTTCAGTCATATACATCAAGCATTGGCTGAGAAAACGGAAAATCAATCTTACACAATCACATGTAGTTGCGACAAACAGTTGTAACTATGTTTATGTTTTTGATATTTCTTGTTTGATTCTGACTTGGTAAGTATTGATTAGTTGTCTTCTAATCATGATTTACGAATGGTGATATCTTAAGATATCACCATTCGTAAATCATGATTAGAAGACAGCTAATCAATACTTACCAAGTCAGAATCAAACAAGAAATATCAAAAACATAAACATAGTTACAAGTGTTTGTCGCAACTACATGTGAGTGTGTAAGATTGATTTTCCGTTTTCTCAGCCAATGCTTGATGTGTATGACTGAAATTCTGCCAGCAGATAGAGTAACACAAGGTCTATCTATGGTTTAAGTATGGGACCTAAAAGATGTTCTATCATAGAGGAATCAAAGAAACAAGCTTTTCCGTTTTTCATGACTGCGGAGATGTAGTAGATCAATAAATAAACGAAGTATAGTAATACGAACAAAAAAACAAAAGGAGAAATTTAATTGATCCCGATAGTATATACGTAGAGCAAATTCTGATCTATCTATAATATTTAGAAAAAGGTCGATCACTCGATGGATGGTCATCATTTGGACAAGGATCAATTGCTCTTAATACTTCCCAACCTTTGTCCAGCGCTTTACCGGTTCATTTGAAATATTCGCTCATTGAAAACTCAACTTCACCTTCTGGTTTCAGAAATAGTGGCTTTTATGGCATAAATATTCAAGTTCAAAACTATACAGCACGCTTCTTTTATCGATCATTAGGAGAAGCATATGTAGCAGATGGTCAACTAAGTATTGGATTCAGTGACTCAACTGGCCAAATTACATATGGCATATCTAAAATCGATGTATCCATAGCTCCTGCTGACAATTGGTTCCCTTTTTCTTTTACTATTCCTGTCTTTAGTAATACTTCATCCGCCAAAAACTTTTTCTTCATTGAATTTCCTCCAGGTTCCAAGGGTGACTTTGAATTTAATCTTGTTTCCTGTTTTCCACCGACTTACAAAGATCGAGTCAATGGTGCTCGTATGGATATTGCACAAGTTTTTGCTGATTTAAAACCTGGCTATGTTCGACTTCCAGGTGGTAATGATCTTGAAGGTCCTACCATTCTTGAACGCTTTATTTGGAATAATACTATTGATCTTCTTGAGAATCGTCCAGGACGACGAGGAACATGGACAGGCTATAATACTGAAGGTTTTGGACTGATTGAATTGTTAACTTTTGTTGAAGATATTGGTGCAACACCTATTCTAGCAGTTTACGCTGGATATTCATTAGATGGAAAAGCGGTACCTCAAGATGAACTTCAACCTTATATTGATGAAGTTATCAAAGAATTGGACTTTTTGACTGCCTATGCAAGTAACAATAGTATGGGTGCTCTACGCGAACATTTAGGTCGTAGTGAACCATTTGATATTAGATACGTGGAAATCGGTAATGAGGATTTTTTTGCTGCAAGTTCATACAGTTACCGTTGGTCAGCTTTTTACAATGTTCTTTCTCAACGATATCCTAATATTACTTTTATTGCTACGACAACCAAATCTATTAACTCTCCACCAGCTGTTGATGATCATGATTATCAAGTGCCATTGTTTTTTATACAAAATTTTCGTCGTTATGAAAATATTCCTCGGCCAAGTCCAAAAGTACTTGTAGGAGAATTTTCAGTCATCAACGATGATGATTCACAAATTAATNAAGTACGGCCGTTTTCCGAAAAAATTGGAGGATATATGCAGTTTTAAATTCTCTACAAAATGGCCGAAAAAAAACTAGGGGTTAGGGGGTGGTCAGCCCCCCCTTAAGTTAACTTATTAAGTGATTTTAGTTAACGCTTAATATTAAGAAATTAAGTTTTTACTTAACACTTAATTTCTTAATATTAAGCGTTAAGTGAAAACTTAATACTTAATATTAAGAATTAAATTTTCACTTAACACTTAATTTTAAGAATTAAATTTTCACTTATCATTTAATATTAAGAAATTAAGAGTTAAGTGAAACTTAATTTCTTAATATTAAGTTATAAGGGAAAACTTAATACTTAATATTAAATTAAGATAAAGGAACCACCCCTAGTCACTCCTATAAATTTCCGCATGATCGGTGAATCTTCTGCCTTACTTTCGTGACCCGCCAAATAAGGCCTTAAGGGACCTCCATTCATGATCTTATGTACCTTCCATCTTCACTATATGATTCAGAACCACGGCCATTTTTTCAGGATCAATATCAACTGTTAAGAGCTTCAAAAGTGCCCTAACAAGTGCCTGCAGCAAACTTGCATTCGATGTTTTATGAACCACATACCATCTCGAATATACCTAATAATAGCATATAGAGAACCTTGCGTACCTTTGATCTCCACTATATGATTGAGAATCAGAGCTATTTTTCGACATCAATACTAAGCATTAAGAACTTCAGAAGTACTCAAACACGTGGTTGGAAAAAGCTGTGCGTTAGTCTTTCCTATAGCATACCGTCCATCTTATGGCAAAAGTATGTTACAATTGGTATCGGATATGGATGATATGAATTATTTCAGAGAGAAGTAAATAGTTTCCTAAGTGGATATTCCATGAGAAATGATACAGCGTTTTACTGTTTAATTTATTTTAGTTGAAGTGCATAGATTATATTCGAACTTTATTTTAAGGTCCTGTAGTGTAGTCCTTTGTGGGAATATTCACCTATATTTTGGATGAGTTTTACGATGATAGAGCTGTTTCTCAGTGTTGATAGTGAGTATTTCTACATCTATTCCCTTTTACATTTATGCTTGCTGTTAGTTGGACATCTGAATTATCTGAAATCAAACATAATGAATATATGACACACCATCAAGACTTTGTTTAGAAAAGAACAATGCCCAATGAGACACATATTTATGGGAAAAAGCGAGGATGTCATGTATGGAAATAAACTCCAACATTAACCAGCGAAAAACTTTTTACTTTTTTTTGTTTCTCATTCTCTCAACAAAATGTCAATATTCACATGTGTCGTTTCTTTATTCAAAGACATTATTCAAACAATTTCTTACATTTTCCCTACGCTGCTTCTCCTGTGTTGTAAGTCATCGAAACAGAGCTTTGCAATGCTACGTGTAATATTCTTAATCCAACTCATGAGTGGATTCTAAGTATATCGTGTTACTATCTTCCGCGTTTCTCAAGAGAACCCTGCATTGAATAATATTTCTTATAACACGCTCACAATACTGTTGTTCCGTAGACACATTGTGGTATTCTTGTAGCTCTTGATGATTAGTATTGACGCTGAAAAAATGGCTCTGGTTCTCAATCATATAGTGGAGATCAAAGGTACGCAAGGTTCTCTATATGCTATTATTAGGTATATTCGAGACGGTATGTGGTTCATAAAACATCGAATGCAAGTTTGCTGCAGGCACTTGTTAGGGCCCTGTTGAAGCTCTTAATAGTTGCTATTGATCCTGAAAAAATGGCCGTGGTTCTGAACCATATAGTGGAGATCGAAGGTACACAAGATCACGAATGGAGGTCACTTAAGGCCTTATCTGGCGGATCACGAAAGTAAGGCAAAAGATTCACCGATCACGCGAAAATTTTTACGAATGACTACTGACTGTGAACGCTACGATTGCTGAAAGTTTCATGAAAAACTGACGATGTTCTCTATGAGGACCGATAACAACGCAAAACTACCCCGGTCTGTTCAAATTTTCTACAACTGGTGTCAAAATCATATAAGACCAATTAGATTTAGTGTGGGAAGCACAAAATCGCTCTTTTAGGAACTCTAAAAAGTTGTTCCGTGCCCAAATATGAAATGCTTAAAATTCAGTAATCACCCTTTTTTAAAATTATAGACAAGTAGTAATTGACTATTTATCGGAAAGAAGATGCAAAAGAATGAAAGGGATACTAATGAACTGCAGCTATTAATTGATCGAAAGATAAACTTAGACGGCAAAGAACTTCATCTTCAGCGTCAATCGTCACGTTATCAATGGGCTGAAGAATCCTGGACTCGATGGTTTTACATTATAAGTTTGGGATGGATGAATCCGCTACTTTCTTTGGGTTACAAAACAACATTGACTGAAGATAATCTCGATGATTTGCCTCAAACGAATAAATGCTCAGCATTGTATAATATGATAAAGGATTGCAAGTGGGGTCAACAGACGACATTTACAATATTTCTAAGAGCATTATGGAAACGCTGTGCACTCGTCACCTCTCTTCTCTTACCTCTAATGATCGTTACTATTGCCCAGCCACTGCTCATTTATCGATTAATTCTATATATTCAGGATCATCAAAGTCTCAAAGCATCATCTTCAGCATCTACTAGTAGTGGTTATTTTTATGCTATGGGTTTATTTATTTGTGCGTTTCTTCAAGCCCTTATCCTTCAACAGTATAATTTCCTCACATCCCGTCTTGATTTGATGGTTCGAAGCTTACTCTTATCGACTATCTACACACGTCTTCTGTCGGTTAGTACAGCAGCATTACGACAGTTGACCACCAGCTATGTTATCAACATTGTCACTAACGACATCGCAAAATTTGAAGAGATTTTCAAAACTGTTTTCTATATATGGCAAGCTCCGATAGTAGCTGTGATCATCTTTGGATTACTCTGGTGGATAATAGGAATTTGGCCAACATTGTTCAGTTATATTACATTTATTTTGTTAATTCCTCTCCAAATGATATTGGGACGACAATTTAGTCGTTATCGGGATAGAATAGTGACACATACTGACAAGCGTGTACATGCGTTTGAAGAACTCATTAACGGGTGTCAAACAATAAAAATGCATAATTGGGAAAAGTTTATTGAGATGCGCGCATCTAGAATGCGTGAACTTGAACTAGCTAGTATTCGTCGTGCATCTCTTCTTCGTGCAGTTAATCTGGCTCTATTCTTTGCAGCAATGCCTTTAGTTGGGTTTTCTACATATGCTAGTGCTTGGTTCACCGGAAGACAGTTAAAAACAGTTGATATATTTATAACTCTTGCATTCTATACTCAAATGCGAGTTCCTGTCATGTATGCATTGCCACTGGCCATCGAAAAAATAAGCGACCTTCGACTAGCATGGAAAAGAATTGACAAATTCATCCAGCTGGCGATAAAAGAAGAGAAACAAGCATTGTATACATCTGACAATTTTCATTATCAGCAAAAAGGAGCAATTACCATGCGTAATGCTTCATTTTCATGGAATGGTTATGATGACTGTCTTTCATCCATCAATATTGATATTGAACCAGGCACATTTGTAGGAATTGTTGGAGTTGTTGGTTCTGGCAAATCATCGTTATTTGCAGCTATTCTTGGTGAGATGATCAAAACAAAGGGTGAAATCAGCATAAACAACAGTTTTTTTTCCTATGTTGCCCAAACTGCATGGATATTTCCTGATACATTACGCGCTAACATTCTTCTTGAAAAATCATACGATGAGCAACGTTATATGAGGGTTTTACACGCTTGTTGCCTGGATATTGATTTGACTATGTTAGGATCGCGTGGAGATTTGACGATTATCGGTGAGAAAGGTGTGAATTTGAGTGGTGGACAAAGGATGCGCGTATCATTAGCTCGTGCATTGTATGCAGATGCTGATATTTATCTTCTTGACGATCCATTAGCTGCACTTGATCGTATTGTGGCAAAACGAGTCTATGATCAATGTATTGGTCCACATAGTCTATTGAAAAACAAAACTCGTCTATTAATCACACATCAAACGCATTTTTTAACTGACACACATCAAACAATTATTCTAGCTGATGGTTGTATCAAAGCACGAGGTGCGTTCGACGAATTGAAGACTAAAAATGAGGATATTGATGAAAAATATCGTAAGGTTGAAGAAGACACACCAATATCGCTGGCTATGCTTGATGTAGGACAACCATTTAATGCCACTGAATCAATCATTGTTAATGAAACATCTCAAACTCTTAATGTCAGTTGTTCTCTGTGGTACTCTTTGTTTACTGCACCACCTTTGGGAGCATTTGGCTTTTATGGTATGATCATTCTTCTTGTAATTGGGGAAGTTCTTTATGATGGCACCTATATTTGGTTGACCCACTCGTTCCAACAATTGCAAAATGATCAGTATCATCGATCTATTGGTCTTAAAATCTTTTTAATTTTGACGATTGCAACATTAATTGTGGCTGTAGTACGTAGTAGCTTCTACTTCTACCAAATATTGAATGGATCAAACCGTTTTCATAACAGAATGTTGTCTGGACTATTGTATACATCGATGCGTTTTTTCGAAAGTAATCCGAGTGGTAGGATTCTCAATCGTGTTAGCAAAGATCAACAGGTCATGGACGAGGTATTACCTGCAACATTGTTCGATGCCATACAAGTACTGATGATGACTGTTGGGTCTATAATCACTATTGTCATCATCAATCCATGGATGACACTTCTATTAATTTTCTTAGGGCCTGCCTTCTGTTTGTTATATCGTTACTACTTACGTTCGAGTCAACAACTTAAACGCATGGAAAGTGTAACACGTAGTCCCATTTTTGGACTATTTACATCATCACTCAATGGCTTGACGACTATCCGTGCATTCAAAGTTCAAAATGATATGATTCGTTCCTTTATGAGTCTTGTTGATGCTAACACACGTCCATATTTATATATGATAGGCGCAGCACGATGGTTTTGCCTTCGAATTGATGTTATGACAACTTTATTCACACTTTTCACTGCACTTTTTGTTGTTATTTTGCGCGATAGAGCGAACCCAGCGATGCTCACACTAAGTCTGCTATATAGTATCAATATAAGCGCTTGGTTTCAGTTTGGCGTACGTCAATTGACTGAAGCTCAAAATTTGATGACTAGTGTAGAACGTATCGATGAATATGCACGTTTACCACAAGAAGAAGACAATGGTAGCTCGAAGAGACTAATCAGAACTCCAACAAAATGGCCAGATCGTGGAACAATTGAGTTTCGAAACTATTCTCTACATTATCGATCTAATATCGAACCAACGCTGAAAAATATTAATCTAGCAATCAAATCTTATGAGAAAGTTGGGATTATTGGTCGAACAGGTAGATTGTTCAAAACAGCTCAGTTTTAGTATCACAATTGTCATACTTCCTTACATTTAGGTGCGGGAAAATCTTCTCTGTTTCAGGGTCTATTACGTCTAGTTGATCGATCGACTGTTGGTGGTGAAGTTCTAATTGATGATATTGATATTAGTCGTATCACCCTAAGCCAACTTCGTTCTCATATCAGTGTCATTCCACAACAGTTCGTGCTCTTTTCTGGAACTCTTCGATCCAATATCGACCCATTGGAACTTTATTCAGATGAACAATGTTGGACCGCACTCGAAGCTGTACAACTGAAAGCAATGGCATTCAATCATCCGGCGGGTCTTCTAATGCCAGTGGCGGAATCAGGTAGCAACTTAAGCATTGGCCAATGTCAATTGATTTGTGCTTGTCGCGCCATTCTTAGACCAAGTCGCATATTGTTAATCGATGAGGCAACAGCTAATGTTGATAACGAAAGCGATCGAATACTGCAATCAGTCATTGCAGACATAACTAAAAATCGAACAGTGTTAACGATTGCCCATCGATTAAACACGGTGGCCAACAGTGATCGTCTTCTTGCTTTGGACAATGGCGTGGTAGTCGATTTCGATATACCGGAGAAGGTTCTAATGCATCTTCAATGATCAAAGGATTATTTTTATAATCTTAAACAGTGATAAAAGAATTTCATATTATCTACTACCAGCTATTCTTTTCATCTTGTTTCTCGATTTCTCTTTTTTGTAAAGCTCAAAAGTAAACTTATACTCACAACCATTATACTCGCAATATCAAACTCAACCTACGATAGATAACATTATGATAAGATACCGTACATTAGCAGAGCGAGTGGTAAAACCAAGAAAAATATTGATTCATGAACAGAAGAACTGGCATATTCTAATAAGTGTAAGGTAGAGATAGGACCAGTCTAACATTTTTCAGACAGGTATCGATATCTATTCCATTTCTCGGTGAAACATTTTTGGAATATTTCTTGTCTGTATACACATATACAACGCGATACTCACTGAGGAAAAATAATATAGCGATCTAGCAGAAAAATAATATCACCTTAGTCAATTGTTCTTATCTCTTTAGACGATAGACAGGCATGGATGAAACGAGGTTAAAGGATTAGAAAAGCCTCTTATTCATCCACACCTTCACTTTGTCATACTGGACCTAATTGGCATCAGTTGGTTCCAGAATTTGGACATAGCTATCCTTTTTTCAGTCTACTTTTTTACCATGTAAATGTGGAGGTGTGGCTATGGCCGGGGTGTGGTGGGGTGTGACGGTGGGTATGAGTGTAAGTCCTGAAGACAAAAATCCACACACCCTCACCCACACCCATCCATATTTACACCCACACCCGCCCACGCCCACACCCAACAGTCACACCCCGGCCATAGCCACACCTCCACATTTACATGGTNTATAAGAAGATATGATACGAAACCTTAGAGAGTTTTATACGAAACTTTGTTCAATTTCAACTTCCACAAAAAGTATGGCACGAAACCTCTTCTTTTTCAAAACCTCATAAAAGGATCACACCGAACTTTTTCCAGTGCTAAACCTACAAAAGGTTTCGTGGGTCCATATCGTACCTTTAGAGATACAGTAAAGTACCACCGAACCATAAAGGTTTCGTATGGTACCTTTATTTTTTCCAGTGTATTCTATTTTGTTTTTTAAAAACATACTGTAGATAAAGAGGGTCCAATATTTCTCCCATTGCTTGTGCGTCATAGCTTATATTCTTGTTCGACTTATACCGTGAATAGTCCGCATCATTGTTTCAACTTCAAATCTAGTGCGTTGTTGCTCTATTGTTCCAATCGAGTAACATCTCTCGACTAATTTCCCCTTTTTATTCTTCAAACTTACTTTTCCACTATTAAAACCACTTAAAGAGCATATTCCCATATTTGACTGGAACAGTCGATAATCGTTTGCTTTTTTTTCAATATTTTTGATGCGACGCTAAATGAATAGCTAATACAAACATGAATAAAATAAAGATCACACAGGACACAAACAAGCAACAAGCATACCGACACACACTTATTGCATTAACGGCTACAACCAAACATCCTGTGTGGATGCACGAAGCGACTTACTTTTGTACCATATTTGCTATTACGTCAAGAAAAGCCTTTTTTATGATGTATATAGATTTAAGATGCTGGCAGGTTGAAATATGAGCAGCATTTTTTTCGCCAATATTGGAGCATGGGTAGGATAAAGCTCGTCGAGTGACATTTTAAAAATATTGGTTTTCGTATTTTCAGACCGATTTCTACAAAAGAATATAGAGAACACTATTTATTCAAAAAAGTCTTTGGGGCGATCCATTTTTTTGAATATGCCGGATATACTGCAATTTTTATGTTTATCATTGATTCTGTCTTCCCAAATTTTTTAATTGAAAATGTTAGATAGATTGGATGTAGAAAAAGATCATTCAACGAGATCAGAAACTAAAATAGCTTAGTGATTTACTGGATATGAATAGGAGTATAAATAATTTTGGTAGCATCCAAAGAGATATTCTCCGAAAACATCAATTCTTCGTAGGCAGAAATTTGAATAATTTTTCATTCGTATAACCGGCATACGGTGATAGCAAAAAATTTACGAACAACATCATTTTGACCTTTTGCTATAATATTAAGCATCCAGTTCGAATTCAAATAGTGATTTCAACAGTCAACGAAGTGCTCTAAGAATTGCATTTTATACTAGCATTTCAGAGGTGACCTAAGGTGGTCAGATTTCGCAAACACCAGATATGGCAATTTTCAAGTCACAAAAGACTTTGTTAGAGCTAGTTTTTAACAGTACCATCTTAAACAGCACAAAAGTCTAAGTAAATGTGTGTGGGGTGGGGTGTGGGTGTGGGTCTTCTCTTATTTCATACACATACCCACACCATCCACCTCACACTCATCCACACCCATATTATGCAGAGGGTTTTGATAAGTTTCTTCCTTTTTGAGAAAATCAAATGTTTTTCAAGATCAATGACAAAATTATGTGAACCAAAAACGATGTTTGGGACGAAGTGATTATTTTTTTTAAGAAACTCAAAAAATAGTTTTGACCCGAAATACGAAACGTTTAGGACTCAGTAACAATCATTTTTTCTTAGAATTTAGGTAATTAATAGTTGGTTGTTTGTTAGAATGAAAGGACAAACGAAAGAAAGCGGTACCGAAGAGCTACAGCTATTAATTGATCGAAGGATAAACGTAGACGACAAAAATCTTCATCGTCAGCGGCAATCATCACGTTATCAGTGGGCTGAAGAATCCTGGACTCGATGGTTCTACATTATAAGTTTGGGATGGATGAATCCACTACTTTCCTTAGGTTACAAAACAACGTTGACTGAAGATGATCTTGATGATTTGCCTCATACGAATAAGTGTTCTACGCTATATGATATGATAAAGGGTTCCAAATGGGGTGAACAGACAGCATTCAAAATATTTCTCAGAGCATTATGGAAACGCTGCACACTCGTCGCCTCTCTTCTATTGCCTTTAATGGTCGTTACAATTGCTCAGCCACTGTTCATTCATCGGTTGATACTATATGTTCAGGATCATCAAAGTTTCGAAACAACATCTTCAGCATCAACCAGTATTGGATATTTCTATGCTATGGGATTGTTTGCTTGTGTGCTTCTTCAAATTCTTATCCTTCAACATTACATGTTTCTCACGTCCCGTCTTGATTTGATGGTTCGGAGTTTGCTCTTATCAACTATCTACACACGGCTTCTATCGATGAATGCAGCAACATTTCGACAGATGACCACCAACTATGTCATCAGTATTGTCACTAACGACATAGCAAAATTCGAAGAAGTTTTCAAAAATCTTTTCTATATATGGCAAGCTCCACTAATGGCTGTTATCATTTTTGGATTGCTCTGGTGGACAATTGGAATTTGGCCAACATTGTTCAGTTACATTACATTCATTCTATTGATTCCTCTACAAATGCTGCTTGGACGACAATTTAGTCGCTATCGTGAAAGAATAGTGACATATACTGACCAGCGTGTTCATGTGTTTGAGGAACTTATCAACGGGTGTCAAACAATCAAAATGTATAATTGGGAAAAGTATATTGAGACGCGCGTCTCTAGAATGCGTAAACTCGAACTAGCTAGTATTCGTCGTGCATCTCTTCTTCGTGCAGTGAATCTGGCTCTATTCTTCGTAACAATGCCTTTGGTTGGATTTTCTACATACGCCGGTGCTTGGTTCACTGGAAGTCAGTTAAACGCAGTTGATATATTTATAACTCTTACATTCTATACTCAAATGCGTCTTCCTGTCATGCATGCGTTGCCACTGGCCATCGAAAAATTAAGCGACCTTCACTTAGCATGGCAAAGAATCGACAGATTCATCCAACTGACGATAAAAGAAGAAGAACGAACATTGCATACATCTGACAATTATCATTATCAGCAAAAAGGAGTAATTACGATTCGTAATGCTTCGTTTTCATGGAATGGTCATGATGACTGTCTTTCATCAATCAATATTGATATTGAATCAGGCACATTTGTAGGCATTGCTGGAGTTGTTGGTTCTGGTAAATCATCGTTGTTTGCAGCCATTCTTGGTGAGATGATCCAAACGAAGGGTGAAATCAACATAAACAATAGTTCTTTCTCCTACGCGGCTCAAACTTCATGGATATTTTCTGATACATTACGCGCCAATATTCTTTTTGAAAAGCCATACGACGAGCAACGTTATACGAAGGTTATACGCGCTTGTTGTCTCGATATTGATTTGACCATGCTGGGACCACGTGGAGATTTGACCATCATTGGTGAGAAGGGTGTGAATTTGAGTGGTGGACAAAGAGTGCGTGTATCATTGGCTCGTGCATTGTATGCGGACGCTGACATCTATCTTCTTGATGATCCATTAGCTGCGCTCGATCGTATCGTGGCAAAACGAATCTACGATCAATGCATTGGCCCGAATAGTTTGTTGAGAAACAAAACTCGTTTATTGATCACGCATCAAACGCAGTTTTTAATTGATACACATCAAACAATTATTCTCGCTCATGGTTGTATCGAAACACAAGATGAGTTTCATGAATTGAAGACTAAGAGTGTGGACATTGATGACAAGTATAGCAAGATTGAAGAAGAGATACCGATATCGCTGGGTATGCTTGATATAAGACCATCATCTGATGCCACTGAATCGATCATTGTTAATGAAGCATCCGAAAATCATAATGTCAGCTGTTCTCTGTGGTGCTCTTTACTTACTGCACCACCTTTGGGAAAGTTCGGCTTCTGTTTTATGATCATTCTTCTCGTAATTGGTGAAATTCTTTATGATGGCACCTTTTTATGGCTGATCCACTCGTCTCAACAATTGGAAAATGATCATTATCATCGATCTATTAGTATTAGAATTTTTTTAATTTTGACTATGGCGACATTAATTGTCTCAGTGGGACGTAGTAGCTTCTACTTCTACCAGATATTGAATGGCTCAAACCGATTCCATAATAGAATGCTATCTGGACTATTGTATACATCGATGCGCTTTTTTGAAAGTAATCCAGGTGGTCGAATTCTCAATCGTGTGACCAAAGATCAACAGATTATGGACGAGGTATTACCCTCAACACTATTCGATGCCATACAACTACTAATGATGACTACTGGATCTGTAATCACTATCATCATCATCAATCCATGGATGATACTTCCACTTATTTTCTTAGGACCTGCTTTCTGGCTGTTATGTCGTTACTACTTACGTTCTAGTCAACAGCTTAAACGCATGGAGAGTGTAACACGTAGTCCTATTTTTGGACTGTTTCCATCAACACTCAATGGTTTGACGACTATCCGTGCATTCAAAGTTCAAAATGATATGATTCGTTCCTTTATGAATCTTGTTGATGCTAACACACGTCCATATCTATGTATGATAGGTGCCTCACGATGGTTTTGCCTTCGAATTGATGCTATCACAACTTTATTCACGCTTTTCATTGCTCTTTTTGTTGTTATTTTACGTGATAGAGCGAATCCGGCGATGCTCGCACTAAGTTTGTTATATAGTATCAACATAACCGGAGGGCTTCAGTTTGGTGTTCGACAATTGACTGAAGCTCACAATTTGATGACTAGTGTAGAACGTATTGATGAATATGGACGCTTACCAAAGGAAGAGGACAATGATGGCTCTAAGAGACTGATCGAAGCTCCGACGGATTGGCCGGATCGTGGTACGATTGAGTTTCTAAATTATTCACTACGTTATCGATCTAATCTCGAACCAATCCTGAAAAATATTAATGTAGCAATCAAACCTTGTGAGAAAGTTGGTATTATTGGTCGAACAGGTCGGTGAAAAGGGATCAGTTTTAGTGTCACATTTTTCATACTTTATTACATTTAGGTGCGGGCAAATCATCTCTATTTCAAGGTCTACTACGTCTAGTTGATCGATCGATGGTCGATGGTGAAATTCTAATTGATGATATTGATATCAGTCGTATCACCCTGAGTCATCTTCGTTCTCATATCAGTGCCATTCCACAACAGTTCGTGCTCTTTGCTGGAACTCTTCGATCCAATATCGATCCATTGGATCTTTATTCAGATGAACAATGTTGGACGGCACTCGAAGCTGTACAACTGAAAGCAATGGCTTCCAATCATCCGGCGAGTCTTCTAATGCCAGTCGCGGAATCGGGTAGCAACTTAAGCATTGGTCAATGTCAATTGATCTGCGTTTGTCGAGCCATTCTCAGACCAAGTAGAATATTGTTGATCGATGAGGCGACAGCTAATATTGATAACGAAAACGACAGAAAGTTACAATTGATCATTGCCGACGTAGCTAAAAATCGAACAGTTTTAACCATCGCTCATCGATTGAACACAGTGACCAATAGCGACCGTCTTCTTGTTTTGGATAACGGCATGATAGTCGATTTCGATGTACCGGATAAGGTTTTAGTCCGCTTTCAATGATCAAATGATTTTATTTTATAACCTTAAACAAAGATTAAAAAAATCTCGTGTTCTCTATTAGCAGTTGTTTTTTTCATTATATTTTTGGATTGTTCTTCCTTGAAAAGCTCAAAAATAAACTAATCATCACGGTCGTTATACTCATTATATCAAACTTAACCCACGAAAGATAAAATTACGATAAGATATCCGGAATGGATGGGAAAAGATCGAAAGGAAAAATAGCGAAGATGAATAAAGGCTAATGTCGAAAAGAAAAATATAGACGGAAGAAACGTCTAGAAAAAAACGCCGAATGGAAAAAGAACGAAAAGCAAAAATATCGAAAGAGAAATGTAGAAAGGGGAAAATATCGAATGTTGAACATAGAATAGAAAGGATATAAGTTATAAGAGGTCGCTTGAATGTGACGATTGAAATAAATCTCTTATGGCTGGCTCGTTCTGTTATCTATTTTTCGCCTTATGATGCTCAACAACATGCGTATACACTACTAACGTAATCAACAATTGCTCCTAATTATTAGTTTGCTTTTCATGGATGTACTGTGAATTACGAGCTCTGTGCTATTTGTCCTAATAGAAAGTCGCTATTAACAACGAAAATGAAATAGATTATAACCGATTCTTTTTTTTGAAAAGTTTTATTTACGTATATGGAGAGATAATCGCATGTACACTAAGTACTTCTGCTTATTTCAGATAATATGACTATTCTTTCTAATACTTTATGTTTCATTTTTTCTCAAAAAATAAAACCATTGTTAGTGATGGACAATTTCGTATTTCAATTGAATAAAATCACAAATACAACAAAATATTATCGATGGTAGAATCCGCAATGTACTATGACTTTACGTACAAATATAAATGATATTTTAGTAGGAATTAAAGGTGATCATAGTCATCCATCTGAACCTGAACAAATTGAAGTTCAAAAGTTCAAGCACGTTATCAAAGAACATGTAATAAATGAAACTACTCTTATACCTAAAATATATGATGAAGAAAAATCGAGATTTTGTTTAACATCATTGGCTATTGCTATTATCCCATCACAAAAAAGAAATAAGTATTCGAATATTTGTTCTCCTCTTTCTAAAGGAAATTATTTTTAAAGATAGTTCATTGAATAAAGCAAAACGTCTTCAAACACTTGCGATACCCGATTCTCAAATTTTTGATATACCTGATGCTTATAGAGAAACACTAAAGGTGAACCATTTCTATGGATTGATAAATTGATAAAAAGAAAGGCCCGTTTGTTACTATTTGCATCAGGTGAACACTTAAAGTTGTTATTTGAAAGTCAAATTATCTTGATGGATGGCACTTTTAGTGCCTCACCATCGATATTCGAACAAGTCTATTGTTTACACGCTACTAAATATCAACAATGTAAATATGACTTTACCTTGTCCCAGAAAACTTTATCGGTCTAATGCTTTGTAGGCTGTGTGTGTTTTTGGTCTTCTTTCTGACAAAAAAAACATATAAATATTTATTTCGTGAATTACAAACTATTGTTGCTGAAATGAGGGTGTGGGTGTCGGCGTGATTGTAAATGTAAATTCGAATTAATAATGGGGTATGACAAAAAACGAGAAGATCGAGTAATAAATAAATAAAAAAATGTATAAACAGAGAAAAATATCGATTAAATAGATAAACACGAAATAAGCAAATTCTTTTTTTGTTTAGTTTTATATTTTGTTTAGTTTTTTTGTTTTGAATTTTATGAATTTTATATGTTTTTAGTTTATTATGTGAAACACGATCTGAAAGGAGTGTTGAAGTGTTTAGGGGTAGAAATTTGGACCCCCCTCTCCCCCACAGATCGTGACAGACACTCGCATGACCCGTCATAGACCGTGACAGACAGGCTTCGGGGGGCATCACAGACCGTGACAGACAGACTCTGGACCAATCACAGACCATGACAGACAGGCTCTGGACCCATCACAGACCGTGACAGACAGGCTTTAGACCCATCACAGACCGTGACAGAGAAACTGTAGTTCTAAAGCATCAGATAAACGGTTAGCTACAAATGTATTGCAAAGAAATGGAACAAAACGATTTCCATTTAATTAGTAACAACAGATCCATCGTGTTTCACATTTTTAATCCCGCCATGGATTGCGCTAATAGCTTTTAATATTCTATAGAAACTTGAGCAAAAATGAATTAGTATTAAATAAATTTAAGAGAAAAAACTTGAATTGAAATAAAATTGAGTAAAATTTGAGAGAATTAAATAAATATATGAATTTTTGTTAGGAAAGTTTTGAATTTACGTGAATTTAAGAAAATCTTATCAAATTTAGATCAAATCGAGGGTGTGAGTATGGGTGTGGGGCGTGGGTGTGGGGCGTGGGTGTGGGGTGTGAGTGTGGATGTGGGTATGATCTTTTAATCCGTATCCATATCCACATCCACACCCACATCCTGAACCCATGTAGAATCCTTGTCAAACATGTCAGAGAACTATACAATAACATCAGATATTTGCCATAAGGGAAATTAATCATTATTCATTAGTCTATGGATGTCAAAAAGAAAGCAGCAGAAAGCACCAAGTTACATAATAATATGAAATAAGTATGGCAAAGATGAATATTTATGGATTCTATTAGATCGTATAAGCCGCAAAACCCATCAAGATATATCAAAATTCATCGTCACTCGTCTGAGTTTCAATCTCTACTATTTCCATTATCTTCCTTGCAGGAAATTTCTCGGCTGATTCTCTGTCTTTTAGCTTAGTTTTCAAGAATTCTAACTGATGGACGTAGCTTCCAGTAGATCTGAGATACATCATAGCTCATTCTTCTTCCTTTCTGAATAAGCTTATTCAGAATTGCAAAAATGCCGCATGAAGATCACATTGACTCATGTAGAACATACTTTGACTTATATATCTTTATCTTATGAGTCTCGTTAATTTTCCTGGATTTTGTGAATATTCAGAACATTAACTTATGTCGATGAGTAATATTGGATCTTGGTGGGTTCTGATGAATCCTGGAATCCACCAGGATCCGCTTTTTACCTTTTAACAATTCCTGTTGATCTCAACACCAAATTGAAGCCTTGTCCAATATGATAAATAGAATGTAACGTTTTTTTATGCAATTAGTTCGAACCTTTTCGTAATTTTCAATTCTGAAGTGTTCAAACCTCTGATACTTCCCATGGAAAGAAAACATGATAAAAATAATGTCGAAAATGAAAAAAAACTGCAATTTGTCGACATAAATCAGAAATTTTCATGCATGTGTGTTTGAAGTCATGCATGACTTTGACACGTACATCATTCAATGAAAATGATTAAATTTCAAGCAGTGTCATACAATTAAAACGATTTTCAATACATCAGATTTATATCACTAGAACAATTACTAATAATCCAACTATTGTACTGAAACTATGAACACTTGTATTACAGAAGAGAAAATGCTTGCTGCAGAATTAACTGCGAGCAACACAGGAGATTCTTACACTGCTCCCATGTAGTGCCCTTCAAGGAGCACTGCTATCAACTTCACAATTTCTTCTTTTGCCAGAGTCATATAGACTAGCAACCATTGTTTTGAAGGCTGCATCTTAAATTATAGCTGAGATAAACAGTGGACGACCTTCCTAATGTCCTTACACATTACATTCTTTCTCAACAAGTTACGTGTCCAAACAGGATTTAAAAAACATGTGAATTCATATTTCACATGATGCATATCAGACGAATGTAACGAAAATTAAAATATTTTTCATTGAAAGCACGGAATTAATTTTGTTTAGTTTTCGAACGCTTTTAATGCAGACGTCTACATCTATAAATATGGAAAAAAGAATTTGACGCTTCACATCAATGAGAAATAATTCTATTAACGCATGGAAGATGATTATAAAAAAAGTGAAAAATTGTAAGTCATTTTCAGTTTACAAGAATAATTAAATTCATCACATGCGAAACATGCAAAAATAACGAATTAATGTACATTTTTCTACAATAAACAGTCCAACGAAATGAAAGTAATGGAGAAATAATGAAAGCACTGTGATGGTTATGGTTTTCAGGACATAATCGAAATCAATTGATGAAAATGATGCCGAAATAATGAAGCAAATACCCGAACTTTCATTTTTCATCAATACCTAACTTCATTTCATTAGAATACTGTGACAGTAATGAAAGTACTGTAATGGTTTTTGATTATGAAAACCAATCGAAATCATTTGATGAGAACACTGGAATTCTTACAGCTAAACCGGCAATTTCATCTTTCGTTGATAATTCAGATCATGAGCAGGATGTGAAAATAATCACAGCATAGTGACGACTTTGATTTTTCCGTATTGACGGCAGTTATGGAACTTTTTCTGTACTCAAAAAGTGAGTACAGTCTAGAATCGGTCAGTATGTCCGGCCGTCCGGGCGTTTACACGATAACTTTCGAAAGGAGAGTCCGATCACGATGAAATTTTCTATACAGTTCGGTTTTTACAATATCTCGGTCGAATTTGAAGATGAGAAGGAGCGGCTCGGCCGATCCTGAGTTATTTCAAAAATACCCATTTTTCCCTATAGCTTCCTATGGAAAAATCGACCCATCGCCGCTTTCGTAAAAGACTTTTCCTATCATAGTCAATTAAAACTCCAACTATTATATACCATTCGATAGAGAATTTCAAGAGCTACAAAATGATATATAAAACATGAGGAAATAGGAAGACTATCTCACCCATCGCAAAGATAAATAGGGAAGAATCGGTTCTGCTTTTGCGCACGCTCTAATTGATCACCAATTAGAGCTCTATCTTTCGATCATAGAGATGATAATCGAAGGTTTTCTGGGGCGGAGAACTAGAATCTGCACTAAACTTGGTTCGAAGCCCCATTGGTTGAGTATTGACCAATAGAAATCATGTTATAGGAAAAACGACTTTCTTAGGGTAAATGAAGGTGAAGAGTTCAATTCTGAGCTGTATTCATTTGTAAATCTTACTGGTTGAGCAGTAGTCAATAAAAATCAAGTTCTTATCGAAAAGGTTGCTAGGATAATTTGGGTAATAATAATCGACCGAATCTTCAGCTTACGACTGAACTGGCCTAACTCATTGATTGGCTGCTTCCTTCGTATACATCTGCCAGACTAAAAATGATTAAAAGCGTCATTAATAAAGCAGAATGGTGCTGTTACATTATTTCATTCATATTATTTCTGCTAGTATGAAAATTTATTCTTTTGTTATGTTTGTATACGTAAAATTACTAAAACTATAGCTGAATTCGATAAGAAAATATAGTCAAATTTTTGACAATAAATTGGATTAAATTAATTAACCTTTCCATTGAATACTTGTATGACCAAGTGGCGTAGTAGGCCATCTAAGCTGTAGGCTTAAAATTCGGCTAATTAATATTACTGGGATAATTTTTAGGATCATACATTCTTGGCTGACTCATCTATCTCATTCACTTTTTGAAGTCCACATAAATCTCGGATTTAAATCCGAGTTTTCCGCATTTATTTCATGAAAAGTTCGAAAAACCATCATTTAAATGGCATTGTTTGCAGTTTTTTTCCTCTGGGGTGTGGGTGGGTGTGGGTGTGATAAGAAAAATCGCCGTTCCACGACAACAGTTGTTTCTGTCCATGGCGGGACCTCGTCAGGTGGTAGCTTAATATTATATCTACTAGATAGTAGTTCTAAGTATATTTGTTAGGTAACATATGAATTACAGTTCGATACAATAATTAAATTTATAGAACATTTGCACATATAAAATTTAAAATAGAATTAACTTTAAACTATAATCTTAGTGCGGGTGTGGGTGGGTGTGGGTATCGGTGTGATAAGAAAGATCGCCGTTCCACGACAACGTTGTTTCTGTCCATGGCGGGACTTCGTCAGGTGGATCACTTAATATTACATCTACTTAGATAGTAGTTCAATAAATAGTTATATAAACATGTGAACTACATTTCAATGTAATAGTTAAATATAATAGTCATTTGCACAAGTGAAATTTTCTAAGTAAAATTAACTTAAATATAATCTTAACCGACTATACAAGTCAATATCTGCTTACAGTGAAAATTTTGAACAAATTTAT